GCCCCGCGGAAACTGGCGGCTGGTGAGGAGCGGGCTCGGAACGGGTTAAACGCGCTGGGACGGAGCGGAGAGCTTCACCGCAGCTGCCTGCGGAGCTGGGAGCTACGCGCCCCTGAAGAATCCAAAATGACGTTACAGCAAGGTTATCTGCGCTGTGAGTTTGGTTAGGTCCTGCGGCACCGAGCGAGAGCGTGCGGCTGGCCGTACCCAGCCCGCAGCGGGGAGCGGCGCTCCCCCGGGGTTCATTAGGGACGTGTAATTGCGCTAACTGGCCAAGCAGTGAAACTGGTGTTTCTGTTTGTTCACTGAAGAATAATTCTTATTTCAGTGGAAACAATTTCGAAATTATCATTATTGATGATGGAAGCCCAGATGGCACGCAGGAAATTGCTGAACAATTGGAAAAGATATATGGAGCAGATAAAATAGTGAGTTGTATATTTTGTATTTTTTCATTTGTATTGTATTGGGAAGCATTTTAAATCCTCAGAAAACTGGAGTAGAGTCCCTGGATTCTGCACATTCTTTACATCTTTAAATGAGTTAAGTTTTGCACAGCCCTTCATGCACCCACAGAGCTCAAAGAGTCTTGCAGCCACTTTGGAATGTTCTGAACTAATCTGCAGAATTTTGATTTAACATTTATTTGCAAAATGTTTTCAGTACTTAATGTATTGCTTCGTGCCTTTGAGTGCTGAGTAGCGGGTGTTAGCATACTTGGGGTGTGCCTGAGGGGGGGAAGTGTTTTGGACAGACTAACTTTTAAGTGACTGCAGTAATGTGGAAATTGGAGAGATGGAAGCTAGGCTGCTCTAGTGATTTATTTCTAAGCTGTCTATTTGCATTCCTTAATAACAGAACTTCTTTTTTTCCTTTTTAATATATCATTGTATAACTATAATTATATATAACAAGTTACTGTCATTTATTTAGTCATTATGAGTCATTAAAGCCACTTTTTTTTTTTTTTTTAAATAAAAGCTTTATCACAGAATGGTGCAAATCCCCAACGTTCAGTTTGTCAGAGTTGTGTGCTGTAAGCCCTGTTACACTCTTCGTTAATCTATTACTGTGTAATTAGTAAGAGACAGGTTTAAGATAGTTAGCCAACCTCTCCTTCCTGCTTAAGACTTTAATTTAGAAGTTTGATCTGTGGAACAACACCCACAGCAGCTTGGGTGGAGTTAGGTGGAGGGCCTGCCCGCAGCTCACACTGGTGTCACTGCAGAAGTGTGAATCAGCTGTGATTTCTCCTTAGGTCAGTGGTCTTTGTTTCCCTATTTATTTATTTATTTTTACCTGAAATTCTTTTCTTTGTTTCCTGAGCAAAATCGTGGTTCTGATTTGTGCTCAGGAGTCATCATCCACATCACTCCAGGGGGCTTCTGGCTTGCTCCATTATGCTCACTGAACATGGTGTGGGCTTGACTTCAGGAGAGGTCAGCATTGTTTGAGGAAGTAGATTTGGAATCAAACATGTTTTTTGTCTGGGGTTTTTTAATGTTCAAATTTATTTATTAAAGGGGGGGGAAAAAAAACAAACAAACCTGTAGGAAAAAGCCCCAAAACCACAAATCAGCAGAAGCTGTAGCAGTTACTGTCACATCCCTGTCCTCCTGTGGATTACGTTACTTATGACCTCTCAGATAATGCATCAAAATTAGCCGAGATTTAAAAGTGAGATTCAAAATTTTGTTTCTGAGGTCTATTTAGATGACTGTTTAAATACCTACCCTGTCCTCCCCAAATGCTGATTGATATGAAAGGTACTTCAGGAGAGCTGAAAGTTTCAATTCCTGTCATGATAATCTAAAAAGTGAGATTCCTTTTTTGTCAGTGGCAGTGCCCCCTTTACCCCCTGGATACTTGGGGCAGTTTTAAAGCTTGGTTGCTCATATTCTGACAGTTTACTAATATCATTATACAGTGATTACTTGTGGGTTATATCTGTATGCACATGGAAATTTTGAAGTTTATGTTCAGTACTAGAAGTATGCTAAAGCACTTTAGGGTACTTGCTAAAATATCTGCTGTTGGTGTTCATCATTCCTTAAAAATAATGATGCTGGGTAGATTTGTTCAGATTTGTATTTCTGAGACAGTGGAATTTGAAGAAATCCTTTTTTTACTAAGGTGGTGCTTTAAATATAGTTTTTTACTGTAGAACTATTAAGTAAAGCTTAAAAGGTTTGTGTTATTTTTTTAAACATGATCTGATCACATACCTGCTTAATATAGTGATTAGTTTCTCCTGTATTTTGACAAATCATTTTTTAAAATATATTATCTGGATTACTTAGAATTAAAAGTACATTTTGAAATATTTTTATACTTTGAAAAGAGCAAATTTTAAGGTGTCACTAAAATGAATTAAAAACTGTACTGGAAATAATATATGTATATTTTAATATATCCTGCAGCTTCTAAGACCCAGAGCCAGAAAGTTGGGCCTCGGTAAGTCTTTAGTAACTCTGGTTAGTACTTAAAAAACAAACAAACAAACAAACAGACAAAAAAAAAAAAAAATCTGCTATTCCCCTACATTCTAGTGTATAAAGTTCCAGTCACTGTCACTTGAAAGCCCAAAAGCAGAAATATGTTTTCATCAAGATTTTTGTAAGTGAATAAGCTTAAAAACCACACACAAGTCACAGAGTCTTTGTAACAAATTTCCCACAACCTCAGACCTGAAAACTGGTCACTGTGTTTTCCTGCTTTTCTTCCTCGCATGCTGCATTTGCTGATTACAGAATGTGGGGTCTAGATTGAGAAAAAAATGTTATTTTTTATACAGGTAGCTGCTATATTTATGTGGAACCTACCACTGCTACCTCTGGATCAGTACTGTCTGTGCAATCTACTCGTGCAGCATGCTTCAAATATTGGACTGTAGCTTGTGCAAGCTCCAGAGAAGGCTGGAATGTTTTTCTGATTTGTTTTTGGACAGAGCTCTTCACAGTTAACCCACTTCAGTGTGAATAAAGATTATATTTTAAAAAGAATGACAATGTATCTGACAGATGCTGTTAGACAATACTGAAATATTGTCTAGCCTATTAACTGACCTGTGAATTGAAAGTTTAGAAGTACATTGCAGAAGTTACTCATTCTGCAGAAATCTCCCTAATCTGGGAACCTATCCTGTACCACTGAGACTGATGATTAGAATTTGCATGTTATGCTGCAGTACTGCAATTTTATAGTTCTGCCACCATATTTCACAGAATATGTAAATGAAGATTATCATGCTGTAGAGAAAAGCAGATATCCTAGGAAGTCACAAATGACAAAAAAACTTGTAGTATGTAGACTGGCCTAAAATAAAGTGGACATATTTTCATCCATTAAGATTTATGTTGTGTCCTTATCATTCCTTTCTTGTAATAGGAATGGAGAACATGATACCTTGTTTGATTTATTGTTAATCACTCTCTGCCTTTCATGCTAAATGCCTTGGCAACCCACACTTCCATGTGCTGGTATAACTTTTGAAGTGTCTTGTGTACTGAGTTCTGCAGCTAATTTCTCCAGTCCACTGAACAAAAATAAAATTCTAATTTTGATAGTGAACTGTCGATTTAAATTCACTTTTCTAGTCTTTTTTTTTTTTTTCCCCTACGTCTCTTGTTTATCTAAGAAACTCCAAAAAGCTTACCTATCTTTATTTTTATGTATTCTACCACTTCATCTTTGGTCCAGATTTGACCAATATTACAGATTAAAACTGACCAAATTTAAATTTTCTATGTACCATATGTACCAATCATGCACTGTATATGAATCTGTGACACTCCTACTGTGTTACTTTGCAGACAACATGGAAAAGAAAGGAAAGTGAGGTTGCTTATTGAACCAAGAGTTTAATTTCCTCCGAGAGTGCTTGCTAAGGACATCAGTTGAGAGTATGGTTTTTGCAGTTTTATCTATTCCTAATGAAGTTAACAGAGACTCAAGAGTAATTTGGATAATGGATTTTTAATCCCTGTTGTGCTGCTGTACTGCCCTTGGAAGTAGTGCTGTCTTTGAACAGTATGACTTGGATCAGAATTTTGCACTGTTCAGGAAAACTGTATTAGCAAGACTTGTTCCAGCTCTTAACAAGATAGCTGCACCAGTTCATACAAGGTGAATAACATGCTCCAAAATAAAAAAAAAAAAAAAAAAGTCTTTCTTCAGATTAGGTATTGGTATGTAATTTGTAGTGTCAGGGAGAGCAACCCAAAATCTGTGTACTACTAATAGTAAATACTGGGTCTAGAAAACAAGTTTTTATAGCTGGCAGTGTTTATTTTGTCCTGTGTCCAGTTCTCTAGAGTTCACAGTGCCTGTCGCACTTCTGGAAATGTTGTTTTAGATAGTGTCCCACTTACCAAGGTGTGTTTCTCTGTGCATTGTCAGTGCAATGGGGCTTGCCAAGGGTTAAATTTATAAAATCTTGTGCTGAAATGGTAAAAGGAAAAATAGCTTTACTGTTTGACTGTTGATACATCATTTTAAAGTAAATTTTACAAGTTTTTAGTTGATCCTTTTCTAGTATAACTTAGAGATTTTAGAATATAAGTGAAGACTGTGGCTAAAAGATTGCATAAGTTAATACAGTGAGGGAAATAATTTCTGTACTGTTTTCATCAGGCACAGCTTATATACATGGAATGAAGCACGCCACTGGGAATTTTATAGTTATTATGGATGCTGATCTCTCACACCATGTAAGTCTGTATATTATGCACTGTGGTTTATGTACTGTTATAATTAAAGTCTCATTGATTTTTTTTTTTTTTTTTTTTTAATTTATCCCTACCCCTTTCTCTTCTCTGATCTGTTTTTCTTCCATTTCAGCCAAAATTTATTCCAGAGTTTATCAGGTAAGTGCCAGTTGTGGTATGAGAGAACGACTTCTGAATGTTTATTGTTGTGTAGTAATATTTGAAAGCTTTATATACTTGTATTGTTGTCTAGCTGTAGTAAGAAAATTGTCATGGCAAGAATTCAAATAAAACTGATTTGACCTCATTAGATTTGTCCCAAAGTCATCCAGAAAAATTATTAGTTCCTAACTGGAGCAAAAATCTCCAATTTGAAAGTAATAGAGAGCATGTGTAACTAAGTACTTCCATTCCTTGTAATGGTTTTTGAGCTTTGAAAGGACTTCTATAAATGTCATCATCTAATCCTTTTCTCACGTGTGCATGCAGGGATGAACAGAGGACCATGTTCTCAGTTAGTTTTGAAACACTGCTCTGCCTTTTGCCTGCCTTTTACCTCCCTGTAACATTGTTTAATGTTAACAAATGTTATGATGGAGGCTAAGGGATTTGTGGGATTCCTAAGGTTCTGCATCAGTCAGGCATGGTTCATCAGTGCAGGATGGAAGGATAGTTCCAGGTTTTTGGTTCTTCTTTTTTTTTTTTTTTTCCTTACTATGGGTTTGTGTGGTTTAAATATTTAAATCTGTGTTTTAAAATAGTCTGTCTTTTATACTAGAGAGCTTTTAAAAATGCATAAGTCACTGTTTATAAATTATTTATGGAGTAGTCTATGAAATTCCATGGTAGATGGTAAAAGTTAATCGTTCTCTTAGAGCTATTTCAGGGAAACTTATGATTATAATTTTTTTAAATGCAGAATGCTTATAACCACTGTAACTTGGTTTCCTCTCTTCCCTACTTGTTCAAAGGTTTGTAAAATACAGATTTTGTACTAAAAGAGTAATTGTTCTTATTTGAAATCTGTGCTGCCTTCATACAAATATTCCTCCTGTTTTTTTGATAAAACCAATTGCTTATAGAAAACAGAAAGAAGGCAATTTTGATATTGTATCTGGAACAAGATATACAGGAAATGGAGGCGTATATGGCTGGGATTTGAAAAGAAAATTAATCAGGTTAGTATTTTTCTAGATATTTACACATAAATTTGTTATGTAGAAATAATAATTCCAAGTACTCAACTCAGTCTGTGTGAGATGAACTCTTCAGTCAATAGTACTGGGTACTGCAGAATTATATTAAATAATAGAAGCATGCATAATTTGTAGATTCTTTGGTTAACGCCCACCAAGAAGGAATGTAATGATATGGCTTGGCTTGAGAGATGGATTGGAAGTGGACAGATGTACATGGCATTAGGTTGGGACAGTCTTTCATCATCCAAAGAATGAGTGACACTTGTCAAGTGTCACAAAATAAACAAGTAAACAAGACATGTTTAGTTAGCTTTAATAACTGTAACGGTCCTTTCCATAAGCAGTAAATCACTTGCTAAACCCCTCTGTTGACTCTCAGATTTGTCATAAGGTTAAGAATTATCTGGCACAATCAATGTCAATAAATCATTACGTAGATCTTACTGGAAAATGGTTACAGTGAACACTAGAGAGAGGTTGCACCCAGAAGCAGAGGAAGACTCTGCAAAGGCCATGGAGGCACATGGAGGCTGGCATCTGAGGTGTACAGGGACTTTCAGATTTTAAAGAGGTAATTGACAAATTTTCTGAAGTCTTTCTTACACCTGATTTAAGTGAACAGATGTAAGTTCATGGCAATTTCTGTGTTACTATAAAGAATTAGGAGCAGAAGTTGTGTTACCAGTCGTATCTGGAGATGGTATGGCAGGGTCTGTATTTGGAGTTCTTTTTTTTAATGGCTGGAATAGATGCTCATCTTTCTGTGAATCGAAATAGAACATACACCCAAAAAAAAGGGAAGAGAGCTAAATGGACATTACATATGAATCCCTTTACATCATAGTGGACAAGGGGAAGGACTTGTGCATCTTGCCAAGAGCTATATCAGACAGTGCTAAGGTAGTCATGACTGACTTCATGGTCTCACAACCTTTTTGTCAGTGGAGCTTGTCCTTGTCATACTATGAAACCACTGTAAACCAAAACTGAACCTTGATTTTTTTTGAAGCCAAATCTTGCATTTGTCCCTGAAGCATTTTTATTTTCCACTTACAGTGAATGTTAGTCAGAAGAAAAATGTTTTGACTGTTGTCAAATTTATTTCTTTTGTGTTGTATTACTGTGTGGTTGTAGTGGCAATTCTACTATAAAGAGTAAGATTGTAATCCTGATTTCTAAAAATCGTTTTTTTCCTTCATAGAGAAGTTAAATAATTACCAGTCATCTACATTTGAAAAACAAAATGTTGGGTTTTGATTTCAAGATTCTATGATTTAGTGGTTAAATCTAGCAGCGAAAACATATTAGAAATACAGTTTCTTATTAAGTAATAAAAGAGTTGGGGGTTTTTGTTAGTAGGATGCCATTTACTTATTTGCTAGAAATTCCGCTTGATTGTGTACTGAGCAATTTTGACATTCATGTTTTCTTTCACAGTCGTGGTGCCAATTTTATAACTCAGGTTTTGCTGAGACCAGGTGCATCAGACTTAACAGGGAGTTTCAGGTATGGGTCTAGTTTGCAATTCATAGTTTATTTGAAATTAAGAAACCGATGAATAGGGCACTGGAGTGAAAACAGAACTTTACTGAGACTATGAAATCTCTTTAGAAAGGATGTAAGAAATGGTAAACTGGGTTGCAAGAACTATTGCTATGACTTTGGTAAAGTTTTTTTAAAAAATAGTAACTAATCAGTCTCTCATAGAGTCAAGATTCCTACACACTACCTCGATTTCCAAAGTTCAGCAGCTGTTCTTCAGATTTCATTTTCTTTGTAATCATTTACAGGTTATACAGAAAAGAAGTCTTACAGAAACTAATGGAAAAATGTGTTTCTAAAGGATACGTCTTCCAGATGGAGATGATTGTTCGGGCTAGACAGTTAGGATATACTATTGGAGAGGTATAGTAAAAGTTCTGATAAGTATATTGTGCTTTCATTTCAATGTAGGTACAAATTACTGGGATCATAGGAAATCTTGTGCACTTCCAAGAAGAAGAAAGATTTTCAAACTGAAATTACATATGTCAAACTCTATTTTTCCAACTTTTCCAGGTAATACCAGATCTGAAATGGCAGTTACTTATTCCCTGGGATGATATGCTTTGCAGACCCTTCCCTCTTCCGTTGCCATTTCTTTAGCTGCGTACAATTTTACAAGGTCCTTCAAGGAAGGAAAGAACTAAAAATATACCGTGAAGCTGCTGTGAGCCTTTTCTTTCCTCCTTCATATTGTACAGACATCTCTAGTTAGGTCTTTTCAAGTCATTTTATTTTCTCCAGCAACCTGATTCTATTTCAGCTTTATTCTGTTCCATTTTATCTCTGTCATTCATTGCCTTGTTATTTTCCAGCTTTCCAGCTATTAACACCTTTCCACTTCTGAACTCTTTGAATGTGCTATCTCCAGTAATTGAAAAAGAACTCAAAAAAAAAAAGTTAGATCCTATATTTCCAACAGTGTGATTGCTGCCTTTTATATTTCACTGAATTGCTCTTCCTGATGGCTTTAAAATGATTTGTCTGCAGCCAAATCTCAGAACCAGTTCTTCATCATCATAACTCCGTTGCTGGTACTTCTCTCTCCAAGCCTTATGTATTGCATTTCTCTATCAACATTGGGTAGAGTATTTCCAGACAGTAAAGGAAGTTCTTTTCTTTCAACTTTCTTGCTCACGGAGCAACATTACTATTCTTTCTGTAACTGGGATTTGACCCTAGTTTTTTTGGTCTTCACATCCAGCTGCATTCACATATTGCTTTGTAATATTGCTGAATTAAATCCTCACCTGTCTGTATATCCAGATACTGAAATCTAGGGTAAGATGAGGTTTTATATGCTATATATTTTTAAAATTGTAAAATACACTTCTCTGGCTTTAAAAAAAAAAAAAAAAAAAGGCAGTCCTGGGTTGCTTAGACCTCTCCAGGCTGGTGCCACAAAGACCTTTTTCTGCTTATTCTTTGATCCCACCACTCATTTATTTACATTCCTCTCCTGGTTGTGTAGCATCAAATGTAAGGTATTTGTCTTCTGGTTCAAAGCCTGACAGACAATTTTCACTAGGCCTGATGTCTCCTAGTCAGTGCTGAGACAGGGCTGTGGTTTGTGGTGGGTTAGTTTCACTGTCCTCCACAGCTCATCTCTTACATTCTCAATCATCTGCTCTCCTCCTTTGGTTTCTCACATGTGGACAGAGTTCTCTGACACCTGGAAAGTTCCTTCATTGTTCTGCTCTGGCCTTGTCTTTAATATTTTCTTTGTGACAGCTGTAAAAAACTTGCCAGTGTTCAGATGGCTGACACATACCTATAAATAAGTCTATTGTATTTTTTACTGTTCTGTGTATCAGCTCTGTATTGTAACTTCCTGAGGTGAGACAGTTTTCCATCTTGTTTCAAGTACATTGATACAGTGTTTCCTGAACAGTATTGGGTTCTTTAAATATTTTATAGTTATCCAAATAGTAATACCAAAATCCCACGAGAGATGACACTTGCAATTCCAATTCCTAGTTTGTGGGTGCTGCAGCTCTACAGGCAGGAGTTTTTATGCAGTTGTAAAATGTAGATAGAGTTGTGAGGGGAAGACTATTTCTTAAGCAAATTTGAAAATTAAGATTGAGACGTGCCAGTCTAAAAGGAGCCAGCGGATGATGAGGTGAACTGACACAAGCTGTACCTGAACAGGCCTGCATGCACTTTGTTTCATTTTGCTGCACTTCTTTACCATATGTGAAGTGGCCACAGTGCATGGTGTACACCCTTTTGAAAATGTCTCCTTTAAGACTACTGATAGAACTTATATAAGAAAGGCAAAGTCCAGAAGCAACTCAGGTGGTTAATTCCTATACTGAAGGGAAAGACTGGGTGCCTCTTACTAGCTGAGATATTAACCATTCTTCTGTCACGGGTCAGGAGATGTCACTTCTGACGTCCTGCACTGACGTGATTTCTGATGTCCACGCCCTGTAGATCAGCTGTCTGGAGTTGACAGGATGCTTACTGGGATCATCAAAAAAAACTTCCTAAGAAAGCCAGAGTCATTGTTGAGCCTATCTGCAGGGCTTTTTAGGTACCTTCTTGCCATCTTCTTGCCCTTGGTTCTTTCCTACCATGAACTGATCTGCTAGAATTGTGTGAAATCCTCAGCCCAGTCACAGGTGCAAGGGTGTGGTGCTTTTTGTGTTCCACTTGCCAGATGATTTCTGGTTGAAACTGCCATCAGAGTGCTAAGCCAAATTTTTAAATGACTTTTTCAAATGAAATTCTTTAACCCCTGAAGTATGTAAATTTTGCATGCAAAGATATATGGAAATTCTTGAATATTCTTAATGGAATATTAGCAGAATGTCCCATCGTGTCATTTGCATACGGTCACGTGACTGATAGAGCAATATGTTCCTGACATTTTATGAGTAATGACTTAATCTGGACAGCATGATCACTTCAGGAATGAAACCAAAAGTAGTGTTTTAAATGCCCTTTAATCCCCTAAATAATCTGTGAAATGGTCAAAGGCCAGTAAAGACAGTTATTGCTTACTGTCCTACCTGCCATATTCAGATGTCATCCTCTAGCAGGGGAATGAGGCAGAGCAGGGTGTTGTTTCATGGTGGCAGGAGATTTTTGCCTTCCTGAGGCACTGACTTGAAGGTTTGAATTTAGCTGACAAGGGAAGTGGTGAAGGTTCAGTTTAAGCCCCTAGGCTTTTAACACACTTAAGCTATTAAGTTTTTTCTGACTGATGCATCATCCAGCCACTGCGCAATGACTTTGGATGATCTTTAAAGGTGACCAAGCAAATAATTTATTCCTCCCCAGCTACGGGGCATCATTAAACCCATGGGTAAGAAGAGCTGATGCAAAGGAAGACAGTCTGGTTCTTGCCCTCTTCCCATGCCTAAACTTGCTGTAGTCCAAGGGCCATTCTTTTGTTTAGAGAATTTCTGATTATTTAGGTTTTGAACTTTAAAAATAGTTTTGCTTGTTTCAACAGGTTCCCATTTCGTTTGTGGACCGTGTCTATGGAGAATCTAAACTGGGAGGCAATGAAATAGTCTCCTTCTTAAAGGGACTCTTGACCTTGTTTGCTACAACGTAATAGTTTATCCTAAATTAGCTTTTGCAGAAGAACATTTTCTGACATATGTGGGTTTTTTAAAGTACATAAATTGATAATTTGTGTGATAATTTGTATAGAAGACCTGCTATAAACTAACAATTAAACAAAGCACCAATAATAAACTAAATATCTTGTATCCAAAAATTCTCATTTCAAAATAAATGGACTGTATGTTAAACTAAAAACTAATAAAGACTAATGCTCTATTCTATTTCTGTAAAAATAATGAAGTCTTAATAAAGAACACAAAGCTAAATGATCCTTTGCATTTACAAATGAATCATTCAGCAGAAGCTAAAGATTATTTTTAAATAAAGACAAGAAAGGACATTAAAAAAAAATCTGCAGAATTTATCTTGTCCTTGTTCTGTGGCTTGGAGATAGTATTTTAAATGTATGCCAATTAGTTCCCTTTCTTTCCCCTGCACGTTTATACATTTATCTTAAAGCAGATACATAGAGGAGTTTTTACAGAACTGATAATAGCTTGTGTAGTTTAAGAGGAAATACAGATGAGTACAGTGATCTGTTCTTTATAAAATTGCTTATAGACTGGAAAGAAGGAATATCCTTTGGCTAAGGAAGAGAATCCTATGTGTGGAATTTTGTATTCTATGTGTGGAATTTTGTATTCTATGTGTTTGTCCAGAAGCAGATTCCCTTTTTCCATATTCTTTAAAAACTAAACATTTTAAAAATCTGTAAAACAGACCTACAATATCTCACCCAAATTTAGGGTGAGAGAAAACCTAGTTCACCTTAATGAAGATATTTAAGAAATTTTTCTTTTGACAAAGAAGCTTGTAATGTAAAATCTTTTTTTTTTTTTTTATTTGTTCCAGATCTGATGAATTAATAGAAACAGAGTAATACTGTTTTTTGTTTCACTGTTTGATATAACCAGAACTCAGGAATTATGAAGTCCTTGCAAACAAATATGCACTTGGTGGGAGGGGGGAAGAAGTAAGTGGGAAGATGAAATTATTCTGACAATGGTTTTATATATATGAAAAATAATTTCTCATTTGGGTGGGGCATGTAGTTCTCTGGCTAACTGTAGCAGAAAATTTATGGTAGGATAGCAGAAGTGACAAATGTCTTAATTACACTGATTTGGCTTGTGTTTGTCTCCATTACTTTAATGCATGAGATGCAGTTGTTAATATTAAGAAAAAAATTCAGAAAGTCTGTAGATAAAGTCAGATTTCAGATAGTTATTTATAACACAGTGACAAAAATTCAACACAGAAAGTTAGAACTTCAACACAAAAGCTAATGTTATACTGTACTGCTTTAGGGATACTCCTTTGTCTTTGGTGAAGTTGCACAGATTCAGATATTTTTCTCCTTTCCTGAGGATTCAGAGCAAACGTTTCCTACTTAATTTGCTTTAAAATAATAAATGTAACTGTAGGATTTGAATCTACCTGTAACTGAATTACAGTGACTTAACTGTACATTTTGTGACATTTGCATGTACTTTTCCAGCAAATTATGTATAATTTCATTTGGTGCAGGCTAATCAGATCTAATAATATATACAGAAATAAATCCGTGGGTCTAAAGGGACACTGAAATCTCCAGTGAGGAGGTTTAATCTACTTATGTTTCATTTGGACATTTCATGGCTAAAATCAACATTTTAAGGTGAACATAGGTACAAAATTTTAAATGACCAAGTGGTGAGTTTTTAGATGTTTTTCAAATTTACATACTACTGAAAACCATTTATCAAAATGCAAATTAAGCCTCAGCAAGATCATATTTTTCTCAGACTTATATGTAACATATATAACTGAAGTCCATTACATTCATTAGCTGTGATCTAGTTGCTGTGAATTAGGGTTTAGCTTTTAGAATGTGCATGCCTGCTTTTTAATTATCAAAATTCCATGGTAGATTTTTGCCATTTAACTGTTTATGCAATCTGTTTGGAGGAAGGTGCCTCTACGTATCAATTAGGATCATAATACATGGCATATTTTATGTGCTCCAGTATGTGAAAGTTTGAAACATGGCTGGGCTATATTCAGTTTTTAGATAAAGAGCTAATTTCTTACTATGCTTAAAGGTAATGGTATTAAAGTTATCAAGAAGTTACATAAATAAATGAAAATAAATGCTTCATGCCATCAAGCCACAAGCAGATACTCTATAGGGCTTCTTGAAACATGAAAAGGTCACAAGAGTGAAACTGATTTCAATAGCCTGCACCAAGTGACCTGTAGAAATCACAACTGAAAGGAACCAATACCCAATGGACCCAGTGGAAAGAAGCAGGACTGAGAACACAGAGGCCTTTCCCCAGCTAGTGGAATAAATATACATACACACAGAGGCAGATTTCACAATACATATCATGAAGATCATCTGGGTAGTTTTTGCCTAGCAAAAAGAATACATATTTCTTCAAAAACAAGGGGACTGGGATGTGGGTACCTTGGTGAATGTTGAACAGACTTTCAAAAGTTGCCTTTCAGGAAGTTTTAAAAGCCTGAAATTCAGAAGAGGTGGTTGTGCATTTGACCCTCCACACACTTGTAGAGGGGAGCATCATAAAACTGATACCCTTAAGTTAGAAAAAAAAGTACAATCTTTGCTGAGAACTAACCTAAATCACCTCTCTTTTCATCCTTTCCCACATCTCAGCCTGCAGTACTTTCCTTCCAATGAGTTTGTCCACTGAGGTGACTAAAACTGTCTGGTTCCAAAGGATTCCTTATCTTTGAGCACTTGGATCTGGCCCTGTAGAACATCACCAGTACTTGAATTGTGTTCCGTACATAGGAAAACATTGCAAAACCAAGATCTAAGACTGCATTCTACCACTGACCTTTTGTATGCACTGCTGTGAGAGTTTGTGAAAAATAAACACTGTAGTACTGCAATCGGTGTGGAGATCTCTAATAGAGGCCCTTTAATACAGCTTTAATAATCTTTTTAGCAAATAATGGGATGAAAAAGCCATCAGTGCTACTCAGAACTGTGCTTGACTTTTTTTAACAGGAACTTTTTGGGTTACTTGAATTTGTTCTTGGCTTCTTTTAATTGAGCCTCTTTGTATTTGAAGGCCACCTTTGTAAATTCTTAATATAAACCCAGAAAAATTAGAAGAATATATTGTAAGGGAAGAATGGATTGTAAAGTAAGAAGGAAGTTATGCAGGAATGGCCATGTGAGTTCTCACAGTACTCGAAGATGGGTGCAGGCTGAAAACGAGCCAGAAACAGGGCTGGTTTGGCTTCTACAGCATCCTATGGCAATGAGTTCAACAATTTCAATGTGTGTATTTTGTGAAGTACTTTCTTGTGTTCATTTTAAGCTTACTGCCTAATAAGCTCATCAGATGTTCTGAGTCAGTGGATTGAGAGCAGCCTGGCAGAGAAAGACTTGGGGGTAGTGGTTGATGAAAAACTGAATATAAGCCAGCAATGTGCATTTGCAGCCCAAAATACCAGTTGCACCCAGCCTGCATCGAGAGAAGTGCGGCCAGTAGGTCGAGGGAGGTGATTCTGCCCCTCTAGTCAGCTCTGGTGAGACCCCACCTGGAGTACAGTGTCCAGTTCTGGGGTACCCAGCTTAAGAAAGACACAGACCTACTTGAGCAGGTCCAGAGGAGGCCTCAATGATGATCTGGGGGCTGAAGCATCTCCCCTGTGAGGCCAGGCTGTGAGAGTTGGGGTTGTTCAGCCTGGAAAAGAGAAGGCTCCAGGGAGACCTTGTATCAACCTGCTGGTACTTAAGGGGGGCCTACAAGAAAGCTATAAAGGGACCTTTGATTAGAGAGTGCAGTTATAGGACAAGGGATTTAAACTGAAAGAGGGTATATTTAGATTAGGTATTAGGAAGAAATTCTTTACTGTGAGGGTGGTGAGATACTGGAACAGGCTGCCAGGAGAAGTTGTGGATCCCCCTTCCTGGAAGTGGTCAAAGCCAGGCTGCATCGGGGGCCTTTGAGCAGCCTGGTCTAGTGGGAAGTGTCCCTGCCTATGGCAGGAGGTTTGGAACCAGAAGATCTGAAATGTAGCTTCCAAGTCAAACCACTCTATGATTCTAGTATTCTATGTTCTCTATTTCTTGTTTCCTGTTTTCCTGTTATTTTAGACACAATCATACTCAGTCTTGTCTTTTTAATTTCCTTAGGCTGAAGCCACACCACATGTTGCTATTCTCAAAATGTTAGTAGCAGACTACAGTAAAACAGTTCTATTATAATCTTTAGAGATCAGGTGCCTAAATCTCCATACAATGTGTTAAATATTCATGTGCTAGGGATTTATACAGTGGCATTTTAGTTTTCAGTTCCTTTCTTAATTCCATTGCAATACTCTGCTTGCCTTCTTTTGGCCACCACAAAACACTGACTTGACATTTACAGAGAATTTTTCATTTTATGTCCCTGGTTTTACAGTTCAACATAAATCAGCTTTTCTTAATGACATCCATATTCATTTCCCACAAAGGCACAAATACTCTGCTAATGTATTTTCTCTGTTATACTTTCTTAGGAATCTGTGTCTGCAAGCACTCAATCATCTGGCAAGAACAAGAGCTTTAATTCCTTCCTGGCTTAAATCAGCACATATCATGGATATCTTTGGTTGGGCATATTTATTGAAGAGGGGGAAGAAGGTAACTCACATTTTGGGCCAGTGATACCTTCCCCTGAAGAGCCAACTGGTGACTTCCACTGGAAGCCAGTCAAGGCTCTGGGGAGATCTCTTGCTCTGTTATTGTGGGCTAGAGATTCAGTGTGATGGATGAAACCCCTACAGAGCAGGCTCAGTTGTTCAAACCCATGAGAACAGCCAAAGCCATGCTGCAAGCATGCAGTCCCAACAGACATGAAGTTAGGGAAGAAAGGGCTGTAGAGTTTTGCATGGCTTGTCATTAAGATTATCCTTGACCTATGTTTGGTGCTTGCACTCTGGTTTGAGATTACAGAGTCAGAGCTCTGCTGAGTGACAGGCAGCCCTGTATTAGCATGAAGGTTTTTTGTTGGACAATCTGAAGCCCCAGCTGGGAGATGAAACACATATTAGGGGGCTGCTAAAATTGATGCTGCCTCTTGTCCAAGGATTTAGCACCTGATCAGCTCTACTGTATGGGAGGTGGAC